ACACCGCGAAATCGGCGACGACATTTTTCTCGTACATGCATGCAGCCAACATTTTAGCGGTGTTAGCCACAGGCACTTGGGCCGTTTCAATAATAAAATGATGGTTAATAAATACAACTTGTCAGTACTAGACCTACCAGTACCAGTAATAGTCTTAATGTTTGATTTGACCTAATAACTTCACTTCAATACCGTCCAATACACCGCTGCACACATAGCGCGCACGCCATTGTGCAAAACCTACACAGTAATATAGAGAAGGTAAGAAAGCGTCCGCACAGAAATTCCAAAACGCTCGAATCTTTTCACAACACTACAGCCAAAATACACAACCAACAGCCATGATATTGGCATCTGTGTGTAGCTGAATGGTCGGTCACTTGTTTGAAATATCCGTCTTGCAACTTGGTACCACATACTTTACCCAGAATTATATGAGAAATCCTGCTCGAATTTGCCGCGAATTTCCCAGGAAGCCGTTTCGTAAATGGGAGCAACAATACAAAAATCCCTAACCGCGCTATTAGATCCTTTGACCAATCACGGTAGTCGCCCGTGTGACGTCACTTCGCGGCGGCGCCGGCGTAGCTCGTCTTGGAGTTGGGCAGGCGGATGCAACTCCTCCCAGAATGCAATGCGCTGCCATTACTCATGTATTGCTCCCATTTACGAAACGGCTTCCTGGGAAATTCGTGGCAAATTCGAGCAGGATTTCTCATATAATTCTGGGTAAAGTATGTGGTACCAAGTTGCAAGACGGATATTTCAAACAAGTGACCATTCAGCTACACACAGATGCCAATATCATGGCTGTTGGTTGTGTATTTTGGCTGTAGTGTTGTGAAAAGATTCGAGCGTTTTGGAATTTCTGTGCGGACGCTTTCTTACCTTCTCTATATTACTGTGTAGGTTTTGCACAATGGCGTGCGCGCTATGTGTTGCAGCGGTGTATTGGACGGTATTGAAGTGAAGTTATTAGGTCAAATAAAACATTAAGACTATTACTGGTAGGTACGGCACTGGTACTGGTAGGTCTAGTACTGACAAGTTGTATTTATTAACCATCATTTTATTATTGAAACGGCCCAAGTGCCTGTGGTGTTAGCCGTCACCTTTACAGAACGGTCGTTCGTCTATGAAGTACACTGCGTTTCCCTTTGCTGACAGTTCTCTACAGTGAACCAACCTCTGTATGGGACACCTGTGTATAAAGGACACTTATGGCGTTTCATTTGAGTGGGACTTCTGGGTGTTATTGTGTATAGGGTATTGTTATATATTGAGTATTATATATTGGGTGTTATTGTTTATAGGGTATTATTATATATCGGGGTATTATATATTGGGTGTTATTGTTTATAGGGTATTATTGGAGGATCTTTGGATTGCTGTGGTAATCGCCGCGCTCTGCGGAGCTGCTATTGCTGCGGCGGTGTGCTGCTGATACTGCGTTAGCGTTCGCTCTGGAGCCTGCGTGGCTGTGCGCGTGCCTCTCGCCACCTAAGTGCGAGCCGTCGAGCGTGCGCAGCGGCGCGCCCGCCGCCGCCGCCTGCTCTCTGCGGCATGCTGACGCGCAGCTGCTTGTCGTACATGCAGCGCACTGCTGGGCTGCCTGCGTTCGCCGCGCGCGTACACGTAGGCCAAGCGAAACGCATTCCTCCATCGCCGATTGCTCGCCACGTCCCACGTGGCGGGCTGCGGATGCAGATATAAGCACAGCGAGCAACGACGGCAGGCGAATATCGCCCTGCAGCACATTGTCGTGCAGCAAGACAGGCAGGCATGCAGCCGGCGCTGCCGAGCCGGCGTGTGGCGTCGCGTGTTTCGTGTTCGTGTGCGCTCTTGTATATGGCGTGGTGATCCGACGCCATATCTAGGATTACCTCGTTAGAATGAATGGTTGTGTTGACCACGGTGGTTTTAACCAGCGCCGCCGGGTGGAGGCGCTACGGACCCCGTGCTTCTCGTGATCGCACAAGATGAGAGAGAGAGAGCGAGCAGAGAGAAGAGAGAACGAGAGAGCAGAGAGAAGGCGGGAGAAGAGAGAGAGAGCGAAGAGCAGAAGAGAGACGAGAAGAGAGTAGAGAGAGAGAGAGCGAGAGAGAGAGGAGAGAGAGAGAGATGATGAGAGGAGAGAGAGAGAGAGAGCAGAGAGAGAGAGAGAGAGAGAGAGAAGAGAAGAGAGCAGGAGAGAGCTCGGCGTGGATTGGCGGCACATATAGTGATAAGGGCAAGCGAAGGCGCGTGGCGGCCAGCGGGGGAGGAGGCACAACACTTAATCACACCGTTCCGTTTCGCCTTCAGCATTAACACCGCACGATTGGAGGAGAGAGAAGAAGAGAGAGAGACGTAAGAGAGAGAGAGCGGCGCGATGCGCGCGAGCGCGCCAGTGTCCTGTGCCATTCGCGGTGATGCGATGATCGCTGAGAGGGCGCGGGGGGCGTGCCAGAGTGAGGGCCTACTTACGGCCATTACTGCTGGTGATGCTTAAGTAGGGGGATCCTCTAGGGAAGCCTGCATAGGTGGAAGCACTGCATAGGCGATTCTCTAGGAAGCCTGCATAGGGGGATCTTCTAGGCAGCACTGCACCAGGCGAAAGATTAACTTTAGGGAAAAAGCTGCAATAGGGGAATTCTAGGAGCTATAGGGGATTCTTTAGTGGGAAGCCATGCATACGTGAAATTCTTTAGGGAAACATGATGGCGGATCTTAAAAAGCTGATAGGGGACATTCTTTAGGGGGAAGCCTGCCATAAGGGGATTCTTCTAGAACACTTGCATCAGGGAAGAGTTCTTCTAGGAAAAGCTGCATAGGGGTAATCCTTTAGGGGAAGCCGGCGAGCTATGGGAGAGCTATTAGGTGAACACTGCATAGGGAAGATTCTTTAGGAAAAACGCTGCATAGGGCGGAATTCTTATACTGAGAACACTGCATAGGGAGATTCTTTAGGAACAAAGCTGCCATAGGGGAATTTTAGCGGGAAGCCTGTGCCATCGGGAATTCTTTATCGGGAAACTGCATAGGAAGATCTTTAGGAAAACCTGCATAGGGCCGGATTCTTTAGGGGAGCCTGCCATAACGGGTATCTTACGACGGAAACCTGCATAGGGGAACTTCTTTATTAATAAAGAAACAAAAAAAAAAGCGGAACCTGCATAGAGGGATTCTTTAGGGGAAGCCTGCGTAGGAGGATTCTGTGAATGAAGCCTTCATACGGGGATTCTCCGGATGAAGCTTTCATTCATACGGGGGACTCTGGGGGAAGCCTGTGCACAAGGATGCCCTCCCCCGCAGCATCTGTGAGGAGTTGAACGCGAGGCTGCCTGGAGTTCCCCAGACTTCCTTTACCATTGCAAAGGGTTGACGCGCGATGGTTGATGCGCTGGCACATACGAACCTACTGGTATGCTGTGCTATAGAGTATTTGGCGCCTCAGGTATGCGGTTTATAGAAGGCGCCACAGTATTTGTGTGCTAGAGGGCGCCACAGTTTGCGGGCGCCATGATGTGCAGGTTCCAGAGGGCGCCACTCACTGTTATGACTCTCCCACTGCACAACAATCTCTGCCTATCATCATTCCATTTAACCCAAAACACGCCCCCATTCTTATATTATTCTTATATGATCATCATCATCATTGGCCAACGCCTTCCCGGCTTCATGCCCTGGCCCCTTGATCATCATCATCATCATCATCATCATCATCATCCACTCATCCATCTCGTCTCTTCCCGGCACCAATCGCTGCTTTCATCCCGCTGGCGTGGCTCCCATCCCTACGTCATCATCCTCTTTAGCCACTGCCGTGTGGTCCTACACACTGTCCCTTCTCGCGCCCGGCTGATGCTGTCACTGCGTGCCCTGTGTACTGCTCTGTCCCCTCTTCTTCTTCCTGCCTCGACCCTCCCCTGCTTCCTGCATGTCCTATCCGCTGCCGTACCTCCCTTCCCGGTGTCGCATCCCTGTCCGGCTCGTACCTCCCCTTCCGCGCGCGTGTCCCCTCCCTGCCCGTACCCTCCTCCCCGGCGTGTCCTCCTCCCTGCCCGTACCCTCCCCTTCCCCGGCTGTGTCCCCCGTCCCTGCCCGTACCCCCCGCTTCCCCGGTGCGTGCTCCCGGCGTCCCTGCCCGTGACCGTCCTCCCCTTCCCCGGCGTGCTCCCCGGGGCTCGACATTCCTCCACTGTCATTCGACTTGAATTCGGTTCTCAGTGCCTTAAGTCGTGGTGAACGGTCTTGGCGGGTGTGGGTAGAGTGGCAGTGGAGGCCGGGCAGTAGAGAACAGCAGAGAGAGAGAGAGAGAGAGGGAGAGAGAGGGGGATGTTATGCCTCATTAGCATCAGCTCTACGAATGGCCAGCGCCGGTAATCGAGTCCGCTGGAGCGTCGCTAACACAGGAACGCGTCGCTGCCGGACAGCCGACGCAAACTCTCATGCAATCGGCTCAATTAATGGCGTGTGTGCGCGCGCAGCACACACACACACAGACACTCACTCTCTTCTGCTCTGCTCTCTCTGGCGTCTGCTGCGTCTCTCTCTGGCTCTCGTCTCTCTCTCTGGCTCTCTCTCTCTCTCATCGATTCACTCTCCTCTCTCCTCGCCCTCTCTGCTCTCTCTCGTCTCTCCCGGTCAGTTCGTCGTCTCCCGTCGTCTCTCTTGGGTCTCTCTCTCGTCTCTCGTCGCTCTCTTCCTCGTCTCTCTCTCGCTCGGTCTCTCTGCTCTCTCTCTCTCTCTTACGCTCTCGCTCTCTCTCGGTGCGTGCGTCTCTCTCCTCTCTCCTCTCTCTAGTCTCTTCTCTGCTCTTTCTCGCTCTCTCTCCACAGGCGCGCCGTGTGTGTTTCAACAGGCCAGTGCACACTGAATCGCGGCGCTGGTTGAGTACGCGTATTTGTGTGGCGATCTCGGCTTGACAATTATTACAGACTCGGCGGGCGACGCTGTGTGTCGCGTGCGTGTGTGCGCTTACGTACGCGCGTGTGTGTGATTTTGTGTTGTGTGTGTGC